TGGGCTAACTGTAATTTTAGTTCTCTTTTCTCTCTCTGGTATGTAAAATTATAAAATATCTTAATGTCTGACACTGCTTATCTACCAGCTTACTTTAGTGAATTCTACCTTCACACTTTGCAACTGTCTTTTAAGCTTCAGATCCAAGTTTCTCATCCCAAAACAGCATGTGAAATTCCCTCATGATAGATCACTCTTCCCTAGTGCATCTCTGCTAAGAGATTAAATTCACTTATTACCTATTTATCATATCTAAGATAGCCTGTACTCTGGTTTCACATATCCAGTTAACCCAGACACCATTCAGTATATAAACATTATTGGATAGATGGTATTCAGTTTAAATGTAAATTTAATGAAAATTCCATTCCTACTGCACTCTAATAAAACTTTTCCTGTAATAAGAGGAAACCGTTCACGAGATGCATGTTCAGAAAGAGTTACAGTACTATATGACAAAACATTTTTTGGCTAATTTCAGACTCTGGCAATTCAGTTCTTTAACTCCCTGAAACACTGATGACATCAAATCAAACCCTAATTACTCAGTCAGGTGTCAGGAATAACTTTATTAATGCAATTACTGTATATTACTAAAATTAATACTTATGAATTCTCTTTCACCCAACTATCACTTTAACAATTGAGTAACTGATAAAATATGTTATTTTAATAAATGTAAACAGTGTACTTTACCTTTCTTCCAGTGAAGCCACATTGTCACTGACTGACCTGACTACAGAAAGTGTGATTCAAAGAGAAATTTTTAGCTCCAGGCTACAAGGGCAGTGTATGATCAGTCTTAGAATATATCTTCAGTAGGATGAAATATGGAAGTGGGTAACTGTTTGCCCAAGTGCCACAGTTTTAACGACGCCTTGTAAGATAATAAAATCCTAAATTTAGTTACTATTTACAGTCTGACACCTAGAGGATACGTTTGTTAGTTTTAGTGATTTTGGAATGAAATTTCATTAAGAACACCTGCAAAAAAAAAATCAATATCTGAAGACAGTACTTTAACTCCTGACATGAAGGTGGACATGGGGGAAAAGAAAACAGGTGCGCAAGTGTAGAATAGCTGTATTCATTCTGATTTATACACTTAGGGATGTTTACATATGGATCCTGCTGCTCGTCTAAATTGTGAACAGTTGTTGGATCATCCATACTTTGACAGCCTCAGAAAAGAACTGGAAATGAGCAAGCAAAAAGCTCTGAAAAGGCGTGTAAAACCACCACGCAGAAATGCACCAGCAGTAAGTAGCCATGTGATAAAATGAATTTCGGAAATAAAGTTGTTTTAGGTAATACTGTAATTTTAAAAATACAGAAAATAATTGAACTTCCTGTAAATAATAATCAATTGGTTACATATTTGGTCATTAGTATAGACATATCACATCCTGTGCATGGGAATGTTTACTGATCATGTGTTTGATTCTCAACACACCCTCTGCACTGGTCTAGCAACCTACTCATGTCTCAAAGGAAAACATTCCAAAGGTCTGGTAATTTTAGATCCTGTCTGTGTGTTTATTTCTTAAATCGCTCCTTACCCCTTCAGACAGCTTTATTCAAAAAAAATATGGGGAGCCAGAATGTAAGAACCAACAGCTTGCCATCTGTAGCAGAGAAAAATATTCAAAGCTGGTATTTAAAAAAAAAAAGTGATAACAGAGCACTAAAAGTTCAAAGTAATCAGGCAGAGTCAACAGGATTTGAGAAAAGGAAATGATATCCAACCAATTTGAGTTCTCAGAAGAACATGCATTGTGGATAAAGGGCAACCAATGGGTCTTCGCTGCTTAGATTTCCAGAAGGCATGGTTGCTCAATTTATTCATAACACAAAGGCAAAAGTAGGAAAGCAAGATGCAAAGCACCTATGGAGGAGGTTACAAAGGGATATTAATGAGAAATTTTTTTTCTCCACAGTGAGAGTCTTTATCACCTTTTGAGGAAAAGTCTGAATATTTTTAATGCAAAGGTCGCTAAGAAGTAAGGGGTTAGGGGAAGATGGAGTAATCAGATTAGCCATGATCATATTAAATGGCAGTGCAGGCTCAAGGGGCTGTAATGGCCACCCCTAGCTCCAAATTCAAATACTTGTGCAGTGATACAAATATTTATTGTTAAATATTAGAGATAACAAGGTGTAGAGCTGGATGA